ATAAATATATATACTATACATTTATATATATTTATAAGTAACATATTAAATAATAAATATATATTCATTATATATAGTACACATTTATTATATATCTACATATGTGTGTGTATATACTTGTATATATTACATACTTATATTTATATATTTACTATAGTAAATAAGAATATATAAAATAATAAATGTGTACTTATTATATTGCACATTTACTGTGGATCGCTATATAGATGTGTGTACACACACACACGCACACGCACACACACACCACCCGCTACGCAGGCCCAGTCACCTTGGCCTTCTTGAGCAGGTCGACGATGTCGAGGTTCATGGAGGCCAGTTCCCTGCTGGGCATGCTCTGCAGCTGTGTGATGATGGACAGCTCACAGATGTGCTGCAGCCGGGACACCTGGTACATCTCCGCACAGATCAGGAGACACATGGCCTGGAAAATGCCAGCTGATGAGGAAGGGAAGGAGAGAAAATGGGCCATGAAACCATCTCTTTTATGACCTAAAAGAACACACACGCATGCCACAAAAACCAAAACCATGCTGACCATATCATCCAGTACAGGACAGAATGCTTAGAAAACCGTCTTGAGGGAGTCGGCATGCTAAGCTATTACTCTTCTTTTTTCTTTTTTTTGCTAGAGGGTGCATGAGCTCACCAGAGAGATGCAGAAAGACAGTGAGGAGGAGAAGAGAGCACTCCACCGGGGGTACTGATCAAGTCACAGTCTACTCTCCCTCTCTCCCTCCCTCTCTCTCCCTCTCTCTCTCTCTCTCTCCTCTCTCCCTCCTCTCTCTCTCTCTCTCTCCCCTTTCGCACAGGCACCTGGGGATTTCTCAAGCTGCTGGATCTGGAACTCGAACCATATGGTGAGCCATGTGGGATCGGCCACCTTACCTATCACGCCATGGAAGGGGCTCTATCCTTTTTAAAAAATCTTTGTCAGAAGGTACGTGTGCTCAGCAGAGTGAGATAGAGAGAGGGAAAGGGAGAAAGTACCCCCTCCCCAGGAATGGCCACACCATTTGTCCCTCCTTTGGGGATTTTGAGCACACATATTCAACATGTTTTTCAAGCTGCCAGGTCTCGGACTGCAGTTGGCCATGTGGTAAAAGCTGCCCTATGCACCAGGCCACAGGTTGGCCCAATTACTCTTTTAAAATAAGAATCTATTGGGACCAGCAGTTGGCGTAATGGCTATGTCGCTGGACTCCCATGTAGTCAACTGCAGTTCGAGTCCCGGACCTCGTGGCTTAAACTCACGCCGGGTGCGTGTGTGTGTGTGCCCAAGATCCTGAGAGGAGAATGGAGGAGAAGGAATTGCAGCATGGCCATCCATGGGGGGTGACTTCTTGCTTTCTGTTTCTCTCTTTTTGGCAAGCGCATGTGCCCTATAGCAAAAACCTCTCCAAATAAATAAGTAAATAAGAAGAATTGATTTAAACTTTCACCTTCAGAAATCAATCTATTATTTTTTATTTTATTTTTCCCACAGGGCATGTGCTCTCAACAGAGACAGACAGAGTGAAAGTGAGAAATCACTCCCCGGGGGAGAGGGCTGCAATCTTCTCTCCATTCTCCTCCTGGGATTTTGGGCACCCTCCTCCTCCCCCCCCCATACACACACACCCTGTATAATTTTCAAACCACGGCCAGCCATGGGGAAAATATAGCACCTTAACTACCATGCCACCTGCTGGTCCCTGAGTTTAACTTTTTGATTATTTATTTTGACTTATTTTCCCCCATACTTTCCATCGATTTTTAAAGTATCTTTTCCTATAGTTATTATTATTTTCCTATACAAACCAATGCTTTCATTTCTCATCAATTAAAAATGATAAGCCAGGAGTCCTTCTCTGAGGCTGAGTAAGGGAAATTACATATAATATTCTGCTTGTTCCCTGGGTTGTAAACTCAGAATCACGCAGTTTTCATTTTTAAAAGTACAGTGCCTTGGGAACAGCAGTTAACGTAATGGCTATGTCGCTGAACTCCCATGTAGCCGACCACGGTTCAAGTCTCGGACCTGGTGGCTTAAACTCACGCTGGATGCGTGTGCGTGCGTGCCCAAGATCCCGAGAGGAGAATGGAGGAGAAGGGATTGCAGTGTGGCCATCCCCCCTGGGGGGTGATTTCTCGCTTTCTGTCTCTCTGTCTCTCTCTGTCTTTCTGGAGAGCGCACGCGTCGCATAACAAAAACCTACCCCCCCCAAAAAAAAAGTTCAGTGCCTTTTTTTTAATCCTTGTTGTTTCTAAATTGACAAAAGTTAAAAAGCCCATCTATGTAATTAAAGGTTTGCATTTTATCATTTTATACTTGATGTACAAGCACTTGTGCCATAGCCAAGACCTCCATCCTGCACATCAGGAAGCTTTCCAGCAGCCACCTGCAACACCTGCCTGCGAACAGATGCCCCTCCTGGCAAACCCCAGCAGTGCCCAGCTCTCTGTCCCATTTGCTTGTGTAAATGCTATTGGATAGCTAAACCAAGTCCTTTTTATGGCATATGGAAAATGGAGAGGATTTATAATGATATTGGATTGTCGGAAAAGCCATGACATGACTATGTAAAAATGTGCATGACTTTTCCGACAACCTAATAAAAAACGAATATTTCTGTTACCCCCTTTTCAAAAGTAACATTCATTCCTGGTCACTCTCTTCTCCTTTAATCTTTTGTCACCTGAGAAAATGTATGCTAAATAGTGTGCTCATGGGACAAAGGGTATGTGGCCAGTGTTAACTGTGACTTCTTAAAGTTATCTCTATTCCTTCTCCCCTGAAAAAGATAAGCTAGGACCAGCCTCGTGGCCTGGTGGTTAAGACAAGTTGGATCCCGCATGGCCAACTACGTGGTTTGTATCTTGGCCCTGGCTGCTTCAAAAACACACCGTGCGTGCGTGCACACGCCAAATCCTAACAGGATGGGCAGAGAAGAGACTGCAGCAGGACCATACTCCACTGCGGGTGCTCTCTCTCTTTTCAGTGAGCACATGTGTCATCTTGCAAATTAAAAAAGGAGAAAAAAAAAAAAGATAAGTCAGTCTTAAACACTGACAGTGACAACTATATCTGGCTCTGAAATACTCCACAGTCAGCTACAAGACTAGAATTAATTCAATTAAAGAAGGAATTTTCTGTTTGGTACTCTCTAAAACCTTTTGCTAGTAAGCTCATACACTGTTTAAACCTTATTTCAATGAGAAACACAGGAAATCTTCCCGGTCTAAAAATGAAAGCAGGGAACCTGAAGCGAGGTATGGTCTGCAGTGTGTATTTTCTTTTTGTATCTGCTGGCATGTACGAGCGTGTCTCAGGCTCCTGGACGAAGATACAGTAGACTTAGTCGTGTTTGTGGTGGGCGCCATCTGGTGGCCAAAGAGTGAGGACGACTCAGAGGGGGCTCCAGGACTGCATCCCAGGGCTGCAGGCCCACTGAGGGTTTCCAGTATTTCTCCAAGATGCACCCAGCTAGAGGAAGCCAGCACCATTTGTTCCGAATTGTAGCTGCCACAGAGGGCTGGTTTCTGGTCAAAGGTAGCCCTTGGTGTGTGAAATCCGGGAGCCCACTGGGCATTCTGAACATCACAGGAAAAGTTCTCTGAGAAATCAGCTTTAGGAGAGACGGACTGCAGCAGGAGTCAGAAGGAGGCCTTTAAAACTCCTATCTTCAGGTTGGTCCCATAGCCTAGCGGCTGAGGGAAGTCAAGCACAGTCTGAATCCTGGCCCTAGCGACTTGGAGGACAGGCTGGGTGCATGTACGTGTGTGCCCCAAAGTCTCAATGCAATGGAGAAATGGAGGAGAAGGGACCGTGAGGTGACCACACTGAGGTGCTCTTCGCCTTCTCCCTCCCTCTCTCTGGTGAGTGCATGTACCCTCTGGCAACTTAAAGAATCCCACATCTCGGGACCAGCAGTTAGCGTAATGGCTATGTCGCTGGACTCCCACGTAGTCGACCGTAGTTTGCGTCCCGGACCCAGTGGCTTAAAACTCACGCCGGGCGCGTGTGCGTGCATGCCTCAGATCCCGAGAGCAGAATGGAGAAGGGATTGCGGTGTGGCCATCCCCCCTGCAAGGGTGATTTTTCGCTTTCTGTCTCTCTGTCTCAGTCTGTCTGGCGAGCACACGAGCCATATAGCGAAAATCTCTCCCCCTCGCCGAAAAAAAAAAAAAAAGAAAAAGAAAGAATCCCACATCTTCTGGACCAGAAAGAAGACTAAAGGAATCTCAGGATATTGACAGTCCTGACAGTCCTTAAAAGTGTCTTGGACAGACCTTACATGACAAAGCAGGTGCTAAACTCTCTTGGAAAAGAGACAAAGTGCATTCCACCCCATTCTCCAAAAGGAGAGTGGCTGCTGGTGCCCACAGGAGACACCTCCTGTTCCGGCAGTACTCCCTGCTGGTGTGGGCAGCACACCTGCGCTGAGCCAGGGTCTGAGAGCACACAGGTGGCACCCAGACACTGCTCTTCCGCTTGAACAGGCTGAAAGTTTGTTGTGGTCCCAGCACCACTCCAACCACTGAGCACATTCTGTGACATCAGCTCTAACAAACCTTAAAAGAAAACCGAGTTCCCAGAAAGCAGTTTATCCAAACAGGTGATAAGGAGGGAATTGTGAGTGCCAAAAGATCTTCAAAAAGTTCATGGAAATGCACATTATGAAAAAAAAAAAATGCATGGTTCTCAAAATGGTCTGCACCAAACCAACCCCATGCTTAATTCATTTCCCCATGAACTGTGAAGTCCTGCATATTATCTGGCATTGCTACTGCTTACCTGGGCAGCAGGAGTCTGTGTACAGGTATTCTAAAAAAGACAAGAAGGTCTCTTTGGAAACACCATACACGGGAATCAGGACACTCTTGGCTTCCATGTAATTGCCATTAAACATGGCTGCCATCACCTCACAGCGGGCCACCAGGATAGCCCTGTGGGCTGGCACCGTCGTACCTGCAAGTCCAAAAGGGCAACAGTAAGATACACAGCAGAGGCACGTTCTAGCATTTCCCCTGCTGAGCGTGGTACTCCATCACGCACGGCTAATCTGATAGGTGGAAACCAGATTGGGGGATGCTACTGAGCACGAATCCAGAGACGTCTTCGTTTTAAACCGAACAATGAAGATAGGCAAACGTGGACTTTGCAACCCACAATTTGTAAGCTAGGCACCTATTTTTTACTTAGTTTGTATTTCCCGAAGACACAAACACTAAATGAGAAATTATGCTTCATGTTTTTATAAGAGAAGAGCTGTCCTTTCCAGTTGGCTTCAGAAAACCCCACCCCTGCCTCTGCACCTCCCTTCTTGGCCAAACTCAGAACAGTCTTGGCCAGGCTTCCTGTTCTCAGAGCAGGAAAGTAGGCAGTAAACCGTGAGCAGTCGACATGACACAGCAGGGGTGACAAGAGAATCTCTCATGGTGCAAGGACAGCACTGCAGACTCGTGAAAACCCTGGTCCCTGCTGTCCCCCAGCCTGCCACCTCCCCCGGGAGCTGCTCCTTGCCACATGGACCATGCGTGCGTCGGGAGAGGTAGAGATACTTGGAACTGTAGAGCCCCCTCGGCCCATGCCTCATTAGACTGCAGTGCCTCTCCAGGGACAACTTGCCAAACCCTCCAGTCATTATCTCCCACACAAAAGCAGTGCCTGACGGGCCCAGGTGGCCCAGGGCTCACGGGGAGGTGAGATAGCCCACCTCCCACCACGTCAGGAAGCCATGAACCCACACTGCAGCCTCCGGTTCAGCCTGAGTCAGCTCACAGATCACAGAGCACCTGCCATGGACCACACATCGTGTTTGGGACTGAAGATACAAAGACCAAGAAGACAAAGCCACCCCTGCTCTGGAGCAGAGAGGTCTTCAGTGTGGGAGAAGACAATACCGCGAGTGTGAGTGACAGCTCTAGGAGCTGAACCACTCTGCTCCAAGAAGTCAGTTTACCTACGCATTCCTCAAGTCTCATAGTTATCACAGGGGCATAGGAAAAGACTTCAAAACTTTAATGGAAAAACAGAACCAAAGCACGAGTTTATTTAGCTGAAAAAAAATTGAAATCTACACACAGCTTTTTTTTTATAATATGCATTTTCCATGAGCTTTTTGAGAACCTCCTTGTACTCTTTGCTAAAAGAGTTACAATTATCGAGTTCTCCAGAACTTGTGACTTTTCAATTCAAGCAAAAAAAAAAATCTCCTGACTCAGGGAAAAAAAGAAAAGAGCAAAGAGCTTCATTTATACCCAAGGGCTTTCTCCAAAGCCAATAATCCTTCAGGATTCACATCAACACCTGCCAGGGCCAGCTCCGAGTCCACCTCTCAGCACTGACTAGCCAAACCTCCCCCAGGAGCAAGGAGGCACCTTTGGGGAGCCCTCCTACCTGGTCAACACACACATGCCCAGAGGCTTCTCCCCGCGTTCCTATCCCTCTCTTTGCCTCAATGTGACACTGTCCATCAACTGAAAATGACCCATTCCACAGCAGACGCATGATGATTATACATATGTGTATGTGTGTGTATATCCATAGTATATATACATACACACATTTGTATCTATCTATCATCTATCTATATTTGTTTAAGCTAAGTGTTTTCACTGGAGAGAAAGAAAGAGAGGGAAAGTGAGAAAGCACCTCCCAGGAGGGATGGCCATGCCACAATCTCTTCTTCTCCAGTCTCCTCTCAGGATTTTGAGCACAAATGTTCACATGCCCAGTATGTTTTTTTTTTGTTGTTGTTTTTGTTTTTTTGCTATAGGGCACGTGTGATCGCCAGAAAGACAGAGAGACAGAAAACGAGAAATCACCCCCCAGGGGGGATGGCCATGCTGCAATCCCTTCTCCTCCATTCTCCTCTCGGGATCTTGGGCACCCACACACACACACATGCCTGGAGTGAGTTTAAGCCACCGGGTCCAGGACTTGAACCACGGTCGACTACATGGGAGTTCAGTTACATAGCCATTACGCTAACTGCTGGTTCCTGCCCGGTATGTTTTTCAAGCTGCTGGTTCTGTACTCAAAGTGCATGGTGGGCCGTGTGAAATCCAGGCCTTAATCACCAAGCCACTTGCTGGCCCATCCTGGATATGAGCAACTGGCAAAGGATTTATAACAGATCATGAGATTCGATTATAATTTTAAGGTTTTAAAATGTAAAGATAAACAGGTCATCATTTTTTAAAAAAGAAAAAGACAAGAAGAAAAATCAGAAGCACAGTTCAAATGAACTATTGAATCATCGAAAAAGTCACGTCGCATTTTTTTATGTTTCTCTATGCAAAAATGTATCATGACTTTTCTGAACTATCACTCGGTTTAAGCAGAGGGATTGAAGGTTAACCAAAAATACCAAGTGGATATCAGATGAGGGTGGAACCTTGAAATCTGAACAGGAATTTTCCATTGATTATGTGGTTACAACAGAGTTGGGGAAACCAACCACAAAACACTTGATGTCTTAAAAGCATTTTTAAGCCAATTGAAGCTTGGAATTCAGTTTGGAAAACCATTTTATTTCCAGTTACGAAACATCAACTTCCGTTTGTGATCTGTTCCAATTACTGCTTTCGGGTTATAAACGGTTCTGTTGTGAACATGTACTACAATACAATAGTCACAGTTTTAAACAATACACATAAAAATATGCAAATAGACGAACATAATGAGTTTTTCCTGTACTAACCACCAATGGGATACAGATGATGAATCACTTAGGCAAAAAACACATCAATTTTCTAGTGAAAAGATAAACATGTCTTTTGAAAATGTCAAGGCCAAACTCTCTTTGGGTTCATTTAATGTTGGCTTAAAGAAATTTCTATAGAAAAGAACCATAAGAGAGAAACAAAATGAAAAGGCCCAAGGTTCCTAGATACTTCATATGACTACCAGAGATTTCTGTATTTACCATATACTAAAATAAAATATTACATCTGTTACAGCTTCTTTATACTAGGTTACTCAGGTTTCAAAAGTACAATTTTTTAGATTAGTTTTTTTTTCCTGGAAAAAAAAAGGTTATCTTTTTAGCTCAAGAGAAATCTACAAGCTGTACTACATCCTAAAGTGGATTATTTCACAAATGTGAATCTTAGGAAACGTATGTTTTCCATTATAAGTATTTTAGGTAAAGTATATAGACAAAAAGTCTTCGGTTTACCTGAAGACTTCGCTATTTATTTATTTATTTATTTATTTATTTTTATAGTTGGGGCCAGCAAGTGGTGTGGTAGTTAAGGCACTGGACTCCCACATGGATGACCACGGTTGGAGTCCTAGACCTGGTGGCTTGCTTTCTTACTTTCTCTCTCTGGTGAGCACAAATTTAAAAATAAAAATAAATAACAAATACATTAAATAAAATAATTCTTTAAAACAACAATTTTTCATAGTTAAGATTTGACACTGTTCGTGGGCATGGTATAGTACACACCTATGAGCCCAGCTACTGGGAAGACTGAGGTAGGAGAATCACAAGCTGGAGGCCAGCCTAGGTAACCTAGCAAGGCCCTGTCTCTTAACAAGATTTGAGCACCATGGTAGTTAAGGTACTGGATCCCACATGGCTGAATCCATGGTTCAAGTCCCAGACCTGGTAACTTGGAAAACACATTGAGTGTGTGCGTTATGTGCCCAAAATTCCAAAAGGAGGAAAGATGGAGAAAAACAAATTGTACTATGACCATTCTCCATGGGGTGGGAGGGAGGTGGTGCTTCCTCACTTCCTCTTTCTCTTTTTCTTTCCACCTCTCTCTGGTGAGTGCCTATACCTCTGACAAAATTAAAACTACAAGGAGACTTCAGGAATACCAATACCAAAGTACACTTTTGTTCCAAGACTTGAGCTCCACATATGATTTCTAGTTGGGCTGCTGCCAGTGTCAGTGCTATTATTATATTATACTACATTAACAATAATTAATACAGGAAGTCTCAATACTTGAAGGTCCCCAGTCTCGAAACAGATTTGGCTTTTGATCTACACAATCTGGGCTCTTTGATTCCAGATTAAAATACTACAAACACACAGTCACTTAATAATATATATGGGGGCTTACAGATGTTCATATCCTTTGACTAACTGACCCTAGTTCAAGTCTCAGCATGAGAGGCTTGAAAAATACACTCAATACATGGGCATGAATACTCCAAATCCCAACAGGATAGAGAAATGGAGAAGAGATTGCAGCACGATCATACCCCATTGGGAGGTGTTTTCTCCCTCTCCCTTAAAGAAAAAGGAGGAGGAGGAGGAACAGAAGTAGGAGGAGAAAGGAAGAAGAATCTAATTCAAAGAAGTATTTCTAATGTCAGAGTGAGATATTTATACTAAATCTTCAATGCAGCTATTATTTCTCATAGCAAAATGTAGGAAATATCTAAACTTATGCCTGCAGTAAAAAAAGGATATTGCCATGTAATGATACTAAAAAAAATTTTTTTTTTGGGGGGGAGAGGTTTTCACTATAGGGAGTGTGTGCGCTCGCCAAACAGACAGAGACATAGAGACAGAAAGCGAGAAATCATCCCCCAGAGGGGATGGTCACACTGCAATCCCTTCTCCTCCACTCTCCTCTCGGGATCTTGGGCACGCACGCACACGCGCCCGGCATGAGTTTTAAGCCACCAGGTCCAGGTAGCGAACCACGGTTGACCACGTGGGAGTCCAGCGACATAGCCATTACGCTAACTGCTGATTCCCATGATACTAAAAGTGTTAAACGAAGTTTTTAATACTATGCAAAATGTTTATGACACAAGTTCAAAAATAAAGGGTATACAGTTGGATAAACAGTAATTATTACCTAGCCTCCTTTTTTAAAGAAAAAAATGACTAGAGGGAAACATGCCAAAACCAAAGCAATTTGCACTGGGGAGTAGGAATATGGATGATATTGAAAAAAATCTTGGCCTATTATCCGACAACCTACATGTTCACCTATAACATCTTTGTACTCACCACCTACTCGTCTCATTTTCTAAAGATAACCACTGCACATAACATGGCATATATTCTTCCAGACCCTTTTTTACATTTTTCTGAACAAAATAAGCCTATTTTCTCTAAATGGAATCGTCCAACACACATTACAATTTAGCTATAATAATCACCTATGACTTTCATAGACAGATAAAAAGCCACAAATTTCTTCGCCAATAAATACTGCACTATTTGTCACTCAAGGAGACGAATTGGCTCAGTGGTTCTCGAAGTCCTTGGTCTCTTTCCTCATTTAGAATGCCCTGGTTTTTCTACTTCTCCCTATACATTTTGGAGGAAGTCCAGAAGTGCATCAGAGAACTGGCCCTGGTAAATTAAGCTTGCTGCCAGAGTGACCCTGCTGAGGTGAATTTAAACATCCCTCACTCGATTCAGTGAGACATTGGACAGGCGTTTTAACACAGGAAAGGAGCAAGAATCACTCAGATTCATCCAACTGGATTCGAACCGTGCAGTCAGCCATGTGGGATCCAGCCACCTTAACTTCCACGCCACCTGCTGGCCCAGTATAGCATATATTTTCAAGTGCTGCATATTCCTTTTGAATATCTTTTTTGGTAAGTTACATTAATATAATGTAGGGGGCTAATGCCTTCTACGCTAATTAGAAGCAGGTGTTAATGTATGCTATGCAAATTATTAGCAAATTTGATACCTATATTATAGCACAACGAAAAGGCAGGGATAGATTACATGGGGCTACTCATTCATATTCAATTTACTTAAGAAAAGTTGCTCTCAAAATGTATGACAATGGGACCAGCAGATGGCGTAATGGTTACGTCACTGGACTTTCACATGGCCAAAGGTTTGAGTCCTGGACCCAGAGGCTTGAAACTCATGCAGGGTGTATGTGTGCGTGTGTGTCCAAAATCCTAAGAGGAGATTGAAGGAGAAGGAATTGTGATATGGCTGTCCCCCTAGGGAGTGATTTCTCACTTTCTGTCTCTGTATCTCCAATGCACACATGCCTTGTGGTTAGAAATCTCTCTCAAAAGAAAAAAAAAAGAAAAGAAAAAAGAAAAAGATAATAGAAATGTGTGACAAAATGAACATCCACGCAGAGACACAGACCCTCTCTCACCCTTCAAGTTTATAACTATGCAAAGTCTATTTGAAGAGCATTCATGTTGTAATGATTGATCCCCAAGTCTGGGATCATTCATCTCAATAGCAATCGTCATTTGCTAACATCAAGTCACTGTTCACTGTTCCCAACGTAGGGGACACAGTGATGTCCCAAAATAGATCCTGTCTTGGTGCTCATTTTAAATTCATGAGACCAGGAGCTATGGCTTCTCTCCCACAGCCGAACTTCCTAAACACGCACGCAAAGGCTGAAATCAGTCATTTGGACACTAACCCAAGACTCTGCCTCTAAGTGGGTGGCTGTTTGGAAACACCGAGCACTCAAGTTAGGAGACCTAGGTAAAAGGAGACAGCAGACGAGAACGTGATCATGAAGAAGTGACACATCACCAACTCTCCTGTGCCCGATCACCCATTACCAGTTGAGCAAGAGACTGGTCAGCCCAGGCCACGGACCCAGCAGCTGAGCATGACCCGGGGAGGTCTGAGGTGCTCGTCCCACCAGGCCAAACACTGTACTCCGTGATCAGGATTCACTGGGGACTGGAGGAAACATGGGACTGCTCTGCTGTAGTAACCTTCAGACCACCAGTTCTTCCCGATGTGAAAAGCGGCACCCTAGACAGCGGTACAGCCTCTGGAAGGGCTAGCCCCCACGCCTCACACCTTTTGTGAGTCCCATCGGCCCTAAATAGTGGCTAAAGAGGAGCCCTCAGTGCCCCCAGGGAGTCACTGCACGTGTCTCGCGGCATGTCACCGTCGGGACACAGGACGTGTTATTCCATCTTTCTAAACTGGACATGTGAAAAAAATCACTTTTAGAAAGGTAGAAAAACTTCTGAATTTACCAATCACATTTCCTCTCCACAATGTATGCAGTCTTTTCGGTGGGATCTGAAGTGTCTTAGACCATCTGCACAAACTTATCTCTCCCTCTGTTCCTTTCGTACAGAACATACCAAGCATTTTTAGTAAATGCCTTCATCAACAGGGATTTTTCTTCTAGAAGGTAATGAGGGAATTTCAGAATCACTTGGGGCTTTATTCCCAACAAGACTAGTTCTACTTATAATGAATAATTTATGAAAGCTGGCTTTAGAACAACTTTGTATTTTTATTTTAGCAACTAATAAATCGAGGTGCAATAGTATTTAGGGACTTAATTGAGTCAGTTTCAGTTCTCTCTAAAATGATGAAAGGGTTATATAAAATATAAGGCCTTTTTTCAACTTATTTTTTCCCAATCATTTTTGACATAGCCCAAGGTCACTGGGAATGTCCCATTTTCAGTGTCCGAAGCTCACATGGCACCCCGAGCTGACAGGACCTTGTGGGAAGATACTTTGGAAAGTTTCCAATTCACTGTCTTGGCAAGAGCTCAAAGTTAAACGCATAATGAATCTTTCTTGGAGAAAGATCATCTGTAAAAGGAAATGACTCTGTTAGCTACCACATTTCTACCATAAAATCAAAACGCTATCTCCCTCTTAGTAATAGCCCCTCTAAAGCTGTACTTCATTCATTTGGAAACACCTCTTTCTCTTCTTGCATGATTGAAGGAATTGGACAACTTATTGTTCAGGTTATGCTTTCCGTCTACCAATGTGACAAAATGATCTGAGTGAGTAATCAATGATGGGCCTTAAAACAGCTCACCTTCATTAAAACTAGGGAGCACTGGGGTCCAGCAGTTAGCGTAATGGCTATGTCGCTGGACTCCCACGTAGTCGACCACAGTTCGCATCCTGGACCTGATGGCTTAAACTCACGACGGGCGCGTGTGCATGCATGCCCAAGATCCCGCGGAGAGAATGGAGGAGAAGGGAGAAGGGATTGTGGCGTGGCCATCCCCCCGGGGGGGGATTTCTCACTTTCTGTCTCTCTATCTCTGACTGGTGAGCGCATGCGCCCTCCAGAAAAAAAAGTAAAATAAAATCTCAGGTGCCCTGGTGACAACAATGTCCAGAACACAGTAAGGAATAACTAGAGCAGTCCCTGGTGGTGCCTGATGTTGGCCAGACATGACCTTCAACTCATGGTTCATTTTTCTTCAAATAAAAATAAAAGAAGCTAGAAGTAATATTTTTAAAAGGGCTGATTTCAGATCCATCCAACTTAAAGAAACAAAGAAACAAAAATATATAATGACATGTTACAGAACACTCATTCCTTGCTGGTCTCTTAAAGTTAATGAAGCTTATGGTAGGGGAGAAGATATTTTTAAAAATATAAATGTATTTTCTCATTTTAATAAAATACTTCATTTCCTGGGAGAACTTTGTTGATGTTCAGGTGGCCTTTATCTACATCCTGTAACAGAGGACGGTCATTCCTTCACCCCAAGCAGTTAAAGCTGAAATAGAAAGTGAGGGAAAACAGTACAAATGAATAATGAACTTAATAAAAGTTGAACCATACCTTGTATTTCAAAGACAACATCAGCAAGCATTGGTTTATTAAGGAAAAACTTGAGAGAAGTGTTATAAAACCACAGAGGTTTTCGGGATTGATAGGTTTTGTAGTTCCTTAGGCAATTAATCTACAAGGAAAAACAGAGACAGAAGGGAAGAGACTGTTCAATGCGCTTTGTGATATAATTACGATGATTTCAATGTAATACAAACGGGCCGACTTGAGAATTTGGACACCATGTAAATGACTAAAAAATAGTCATTACCTTCTCTGTGGCCTCTCTGACAGTAGCTTTCAAGGGAACTTACCTGGAGAACTACAGCTGGTCCCTGTCCATGAGGAATACTACACACACAGCCTACAGGGTGGGAAAGGAACTGGCTGAGTGAAAACTCAACTCCACGACTAAGCCCCTGTGAGTCGTTGAGAAACAGACAACAGGAGTCCAACCTCCTATGAACGCCTAGACGAGCAGGTGTATAGATACAACCTAAGCTGTTAATTAAGAAAAGTTCATAGAGGGACCAGCAGATGGCATCATGGTTACAGCACTGGACTCACACGTGGTCAGCTGCAGTTTGAGTCCTGGACCTGGCAGCTTCACATTCATGTTGGGCATGTGTGCCTGCTTGCCCAAAATCCTAAGAGGAGAATGGAGGAGAAGGGATTGTGGCGTGGCTATACCTGCTGGGGGGTGATTTCTTGCTTCTAGTCTCTCTGGTTAGCACATGTGCCCTACAGCAAAAATCTCTCTCTAAAACAACAAAAAGTCCATAGAGGGCCAGTAGGTGGTGCAGTGGTTAGGGCGCTGGACTTCCACATGACTGACCATGATCTGAGTCCTAGACCTAGTGGCTTGCTTTCTCATTTTTTCTCTTTGTGTTTTTCTCTCTGGTGACAGCACGAGCCCTGTGACAAATTAAAAAATTATAATAACGATAAATAAAATTAAATCATTTTTTAAAAAATCCACAGAAAAAACTTTGTTACTATGGAAAATACACTTTGCCGTACTACACCAAGTCCTTCTACCGCTTACTAGTTCAATATTTTCTCCTACAGGGATGAGCACTAAACATGCGTGGGTGATGAATGAGTTCTTCTCCACCTTAATATCCAATCTTACAACCTTAAATGTCTTCTCTATCCATAGCAGAAACGACTGAACTCAATCTATAAGAAGTCATCCTGAGCCAGTAGGTGGTGGGGTGATTAAGGAGGCTGGATCCTACATGGCTGACTGGGCAGTTAGAATCCTGGACCCTGAGGCTTGGAAAAAATATGCCAGGTGCATGTGTGCCCAAAATCCTCAGAGGAGACTGGAAGAGCAGGGACTGCAGTGTGGCCATTCCCCCTGGGGGTGATATCTCTCTCTCTCTCTCCCAAGTACACACACAATAGCCAAAAAAGAAAAAAAGAAAAGAAAAAAGTTGTCTTTATATTTATAAGAGATGAACAAAATAAGTCTAAATGACATTTACAGATAGAACTACCCAAACAAAGAAGAAATAACATAATTTTCAATACCAGGAATCCCCAGGGCTGCAGTCCTGTCTAAAGTCTATATTGTGTTACTATAACCCCTCCGTTGGCAGGATTAGTTACTAGTTTTATTAAAATATTATACTTTACTCATTCCTGGTGGCTCTGCTCACTTCCCCTGCCAAATCTCAGGACCTCAGGGCTTTCCAGAACCCTGACCCTCTGGTTGGTGAGGAAACTCAGAAAGCCCACTGCTAAGAAATAATCAAACGTACAGCTTCAGCAGTAAGAATGAAGCCCAGTCATGGTGGCACAGGTGGGGATGCTGCTGTGTAATGATGGAGACCATGTGAGAGGGCTCTGGGTTCACATCCTGGGTCTGCCTCAACACGATCAGAGTGCCTGTAATCCTGGCCGGCTGGGGCTGGGAGAGGATCGTGGCACAGAGACACTGGAGAGAGTGCATGCATGCACATGTGTACACCTTCTTCTCTCTTTCAGGAAATAAGTAAAATTTGGGGAAAACAATAGAACAATACCTGCCTTTAATTTTAGATTCATGTTCCTATGGTGGGAAGTTTACAATCTTTGGTGAGGGGGAAAATGATATTATCCTACCTCACAAAGAAGAAGAAAACATACTCCAGAAGGGTACCCGTGAGCATGACAGAGAGAAAAAGCAGGATCACAGAGATCCTGGTCCTATAAAACACACCCCCCAAATCCCACAACACACACCGAAGGAACTGGGGGACAGGATCCAAGTGACTGTCACACAAAGCATCACAGAGCTGAAGAGCCAGCCAGGGCTGGAGAAATCCTCCCCCTTGTCCCTCATTTGACAGAAAGCCCTGCCGTACTCTAAGGCACAAGGATGAGTTCTGGAAGCTTCACAGCTTAAATCTACCTCGCCCAATGGGTTATACATTGCCACATCATGCCCAAAGAGAGGGAGTGACCCTTCCCCGAGAGAGCACAGGGGGAAAGGGTGGAAGAGCTCTTCTCCTCTCCTGTGCACAGGAGGGAATTCGGTTCAATGCCATGGAGTCATAGAGCCTCCGACCTCCCCATCCCCAGGCAAGGATTCATTTTATGCTCAGTTCTCCAGGGCATGTGCTCAGAATTGGACCAAGGATAGGTGCAGGTTCAGAACAGAAGGTAGCTTCTGCCCTTGCCATTCTTACAAAGCTTAGAAATTTGTATATCAGGACCAGCAGATGACATAATGGTTACGTTACTGGATTCCCATGTAGTCAACCACGGTTTGAGTCCCAGACTTGGAGGCATGGTGCATGTGCATGCATGTCCAAAATCCTGAGAGGAGAATGGAAGGAAAGGGATTGTGGCATAGCCAACCCCCCAGGGGAAGATTTCTTGCTTTTTCTCTTTCTCTCTCTCTGGTAAAAATCATTTGGATGTCATGAATGTTACATAGATGCATATTATGTATGATTATGTGCATGTATGTATACACAGAGAGAATATAAACAGATTCTATTGTTACTTTTGCCATGAATTTTTAAAAATAATGGAAGGGCAGAAGTCTAAAGAGAACACAGATATACCTGGTGTATATTTTCATGGTTCCTAAATGATTTAAAGACCTAGATTAATTATTTCAAAAACAAAATGCAGGTATGTGCACATTTTTACAAAAGAATTATTTAGCTGAATTTGACTGCAAGAGAGCGCCCATCTGGCCGTATTCCTGTTAAACTGTACGGCATCTGTACACCCGTTTCAAGGTGCTTTTAAGTGAAAAAAGAGCATGACCCTTAATCCCATGTTACTTTGTTTAAAACAAACAAACAAAAAAGTGAACGATTCTCTCAATTAAACAACAGTCAGGGGACTTCATTAAAAGGCAGTAGAGTCTTTGTTTTTTAAAATATTAACTTTAAAATGTTAATAACTTGGGGGCCAGCAGGTGGTGTGGTGGATAAGGGTGCTAGATTCCCACATGGCCAACCATGGTTCAAGTCCTGGACCTGGTGGCTTGCTTTCTCACTTTCCCTTTCTCTCTCTCTCTCTCTCTCTCTCGTCAAATAAAAAAAAAAATATCAATAACAAATGGAAATAAATAAATAAATAATTCTTTAAAAAAATCTTTAAAAAAATGTTAATAACTTGGGCTGTAGAACCGACATCATCTGTATAAAAAATCAGAAGAGTAACA